AGGTGAGCGTATCCTACCCCACCGGTGGCACCCGTCATAAACATATGTAAAGTCTAGTCAACTGTTCAACTGAAATAATTCGGGAAGGTTTAGTACAAGTCAAAATAGGGAATTGCATCGGGCATAATTTGTCACTGATGCATCAAATTTCGAAATGTCCTCCACATGTTTACCCTAAAGCTACTGTTATAACAAACTAAAAATAGTAGTCCTTTTGAGTTCCTTTAAAATAAGATTATTAAAACTTTAAAAAATCCAGGTTAATCTCCGAGTTTAGATTGATGGTCATTGTAAAAATCTTTTGTGCAAAACGGCTTCAGACCGCTGTGTTGACACGATGAATATGCATATAAAAAGAAGTCCCATATGTTATGTGGCAGTAGAGAGATTGTACAATTCTCTATAATGATAATTAGTGGCAACAAGTGACTGAAAATATGGATTGCTGTCGAGGTCATGTTTTTAACAGGAAGCTGGATCAGAGTTTCGAAAAGTTTCTCGAGTGCGGGTACAGTAACTTGCCAGATTCCGAATTCTTTTTTCAAGACATTGATGGTGTCAATTACTCGACACTCATTCACATGTTAAAGAAGGTGTTGCCTGCAACCAGTTTTATAGCCTTTTGTGATTGTAAAACCTATTTTTATCTCAAGATACTTTATTAATTCGTCGTTTAGCTTATATGGTCTTTTTTACTGATTATCTCTGTTTGTATTAACATTTGTGTTTTGACCAAGGAAACTCACCTGTCATTTTGTCGCATCTGTGTATGTAGGAGGGCGTGGACTCATCTCACAGGTGACACGCTTACCATGTCAGCTTACTGACGGAGTTTGGTCATGAGGACAAGGCGTCCGACTTCGGACAGTCAGAAAGTCCGTGGTTCGAATCCATGCACGGGACTTGGAAATTTTATGGCCGCGACATTGGCGTGAGTGAGTAAATCGCCGTCGAGTCTTGGACTTGACGAGCAAACACTCTAACAACTAGGCTGAGGAAAGTTCTGTCTGTGCAAAGAACTATCAGTACAGTATTTAAACTGACCTAATCTTCTGACCAGCTGCCATATGAGAAAATATGTTTCTATGACTATATACACAAACACTTTGACATTAAAAATTCGATCTGGTGCCAAATCCTGACGTGCCGCCATTTGAAATTTGATGAATCAATCGACGTTGAATGTCATCAATACCTACATAAATATTTCAAAATGTTATCTGACTCGTTACAGTTTGCTATAAATGAAACCTCGAGACATTCAAATCTTGCCACTCAGGCTGTTGCTGACTTCAACGATACGAATGAATCATCCGAGTCCAAATCGTGTAATTCATCTCTTCAGGCAGGTTATGGAGAAAATGTGAGTGGAAGCCCCTAAACTGGCGCATTATTGGTGCTTGCTCTACAGTAAACTGCTGTCAAGTAGGAATAATCACGGCAAGCAAATCATTTCATCTGATGTGTCCGAAGCAAAGATTTCAGACACATAGTTATGGCCGCAGGTCGTTATATACATTTAGACTGAAATATAGAGCAATTGGTACGGATTGTTTTGCTCGTTAATTTGTTGTAAGTGTGTTCGTAATAAACCTAGTAATAGAATATAAGCAAGAACAGGAAAGACGGCATTTATACGAGTTCTGTCACTGTGAGCAGATTACCGTAATACAGAAGTAAATGCCCAATCAGAATGGTAGTCCCATCAAGTTTGGGGGCATGGCGGGCGAGCAGTCCAAGGCGCCAGGCTAGTGATCCAACGAGCTTGTGGTGTCGGGATCGAGTCCACCTGTGACCGGGTGGAAAACCCTCGGAGTCAACTTTGTGTGCAGACTCTTTCTGTGTTGTCACAACCCCTAGTGCACAGTACACAATCCTGTGCACTTACAAGAACCCACGAATCCGTTGGTAAATGGCCAGATGGTGGCCACATGAATATGTGCAAACGCCTCGTTGCGGGTACAGCAACGTGCTGTAAACTTGAACAAAGTACTGTGACTATATGTTCCAGTCCACCCAGCTGTGAATGGGTACCTCGTAAGGATGGGAAAGTCGCAACAGCTTGTTGCGACTAGTGGCTGCAAGAGTTGTATAATTCCATGTGCCGTTTGTATAGTTCCATGTGCCGTTTGAGATTGACATCCATTGATCGAGGGGAAAAACAGCGCCTTGATCATGTACTAGTTGCGTGGATATGTGCGCTATATAAATATCCTATGATGATGATGATGATGATGATATAGCATTAATAAATGACTACAAAGCAATATTCTTTTGAAAATTCACAAGGTATTAATTTCACCTGTCTCGAATACTTTCCATACATAATTCGTGAAAGTCCTTTTTGATCAAATTGAGGATTATCGTAAATCTTTGAGAAATGGATTTTCTGGTGCATTTGCTCGACCCAGGTTTGGATCTTCGCACGGAATTGGAATCCATTAAAATTAGGAAATCGTAAAGAAATGATCGTAAAACGAGTTCTCGTGTTCATTGCAAAACTTTCAGCTACTAGGATAATAACATTAATGTTTAAAGGCTACAAAGTGCCTTTAGGTTTCACGAAGAGTTTTTCTATTATACTATAAATGAACACGTGTATAGCAAAGATGACGCTCTAAATCAATCTTAAAGATGAAGAAAGAAAGAAAGAAAGAAAGCACAAACAGCTCCTCATCATTGTAACCCACCTCATGTAATTGATTGTACTGGAGATCCTGAACGTGCCTATGTAAGAACGTGGCAATTTCAAAAAAGGTTTCAAAGTGTTTCTTCCATTTCAACATTGAGTTTCCAGAGGGCGAAACAGTACTTTTATCCTATCTTGTACCGTACGAATAGAGCGCATTCATCGCTTGTGGCCATGGATACCTACAACCATTACCGTGATTTGATTTCGAAAAGAAAGCATCTTGTTTGTGGCGAGTCATCTTCACGTCGATAACGACACTTTGGTTCGGCGGATTCAAATGAATCATAAAGAATTACAAGATGTAAATTCAATCGGTTGTTCATTACTCTCTACTTGAACCATGACCCAGGTTCCGTACACTGGAATAATTTCGTAATTCGTCGTCAATGGAGAAGGACGTGAAACTGAGATACTGAGATGCTTAGCTTGAAGCAACGATCGGACTTGATACAGTCTGCTCTCTGTCAAAACTGGACGATGCACGTGGCACCACAGTCAGTTATCTTCTGCCGATGCAATCAGACCGGCGCAGACGATTTCCGGTTGCAGATTGAGGCCAGAAGCGCGGGAAATAGTGTCGTCTGTCGCTGGAGTACCTGATACACAGCTAGTGGCTTTTCCTAGGATGTAAGCTAAATTCATTTACAGACAGCATTATCTCTCATGTGAAGTATATGTGATTTACCGATGCCGCGTATTTTTAAGATAAAAGTTATGTTTTGCCGTTTCAAGGTACACCTTTCCAAATATATACTACCCATCAAAAGTTAATACTCACTAGTGTAAATGTAGCCACTTACTTCAGTCAACTGTTCTGAACTAGATTTTGCCAAATATTCCATACTGTTTAAAGGTACTGTTTACACATGAACTGATGTATTGTAAAACAAATTTGTAACGTTGAAAAGATTATTGTCTTGAGTTCAATAAATGATGAAACTCAGTGAAAATTGGCGAATTCTGAACAAAACTTTACACCAAAAACGCAGATGTTCACATGCACGATATTTGCACATGCTTTCCAGCAATTTGATGCACGATCCTCGTGCAATTCATCTGCATAAGATTTACAGTTGGTTCCTCTATGTTAGTGGAGAAATTCATCTCCGATGTAACCACATATATATACATAACATATAGTGAGTGCTTAAAGTGAGTCTAAACTTTTGATGGGTAGTATATACTTGTTCTAGCTCCCAAAATTGCACTTAAAAGCTTTGAGTACATGCATCAATGCAGTCTTCTTTACAATTCTGTAATCAACTGGTTCTGTGATTTCTTAATTATAAATGCAAGCAGCTATGTTTATAACGAATACGCGTATATCAAACTGATGGATATTTTAATCGTAATGAGTATAACGAACAACGGCTGTAACGAACATAAATTAGTGTTCCCTTTGAGTTCCTTATAACTGTTACCGTTACTCGTTGTATACCCATACGAAACATACATGAAGTCTCTGTACACCCTGTATATGAACATTATTCTCACATACTGACACTGTGTACTTTAAACCATAACTGTCAATAAGACCATGGCTTATGTGTTATGAATAAGTTTACACATCAGTGATAATTGGCATCAGATATGAAGACGATAACAGAAGTCAAATATCTGAGGGGAGTGATCGTTAATCTAATTATTGTCAGTTGCGGCACGGTACGAGACATGACCCTGTAGTCCACTCCACAACGTTAGCCTGGATGTCCCCCTTTAGAGTCTTTCCTGGGCAGGGTTTCCTCCTGGAATAGTTTCCGATACATTGTAGACAAAACTAGATGTGTTTTTATAACGACTGATAAAGCATTGCAGTCTCTGGATGTAAACAGACCCGGGGAACAAGAGGAGGTGAGGATTATAGGAATCAGATAGAAATGAGCTACAAAATAGCCAGTGTTTCAAACACTAAAAAACACTGTTGATGCATTCGTATTGATCGAAATCCAAGTCAATTATTTCTGAATTAGGAATAAGTCATCCGGTACTGGTATAGAAAAAACATTGCATGGGGTCGTATGTTCTGAATAGATGTTCAATAGTTGCTCAAACTTTATCCCAGTCATCAAATACAAATTGATTTGCAGTCCTCAACTTATTCATATGAAAGACTGAGTTCACGAAGAAGGAATGGTAGGCAGTTTGTCTTTGATTTGAATGAACTATAAAAGTGAAAATCAAAATTTGTGTTAGGAACTTCATCGATATGACGACTGTATAATCCCGACCAGGTCCGTGCCTTGTGTAGCAATCTTAAGCGCGCACTCAGGCCGCTGATGACGCCTGCGCCAAGATGGCGACTGGTGGCAGACGACAATGCAACGGAGGAAATGGCGGGAAGGAATCGATACTGAGACGAGAGGTTGATGGTTGTGCTCACTCACAGTTAACCGCCTAAGGTCACACAAACAACGTTCTTTGAAAGTTTTAATGATCTCCCTCCACAATATTGGACTAGTGCTCGTCATCTGAGGATTACAGTCAAGTGTTGTGCCCTGGCTATTGTGACTACAACTCAGGTAGGTGACTTTCACAAATTGTGTACCACGCATAGAGATAGTCAGCTGAAGTTGACTCTGCGCTCTCTTCACAGTCAAGGCATAGTCAGGTTCTGATTAAAACAGTACAAGTTTTCTATACACTATACACATTTATACACTGTTTTCACACTATGTGTGAACATAGTCTGTGGTGTAAAGTATTTTAAAATGTTAGATAAAAGAAGTAGACTATGTATGTATGTATGTATGTATGTATGTATGTATGTATGTGTGTGTGTGTGTGTATGTATGTGTGTGTGTGTGTGTGTGTGTGTGTGTGTGCGTGCGTGCGTGAGTGTATGTGTGTGTGTATCTATGTAAGAATGAATAAGTGATTGAATAAATGAATAAGAACAGCTGGCAACCTAACAGCTACGTCACGTAATAATTGTAAATCGGGTTCTTACCTTGTCGCAAAAACACATTAACAAAATCGTTCTTATGTCAATCAAGATAAACGTGTCAAGAAAGAAGAAAACATGCCAGCGGTTGTTATACTTAACAAGGATGACAACACTAGGCCAGACAAGCCAACAATGTTCTTGCCGGGAATGTAGGGTTAACTCGATGCTGCACACTATAACAAATACTACACGTCTAACTGGTCATATTCTTGATAACGAACGTTAAAGAGTGATATTTATTTGCTGATAAATAATATGATTCAATGAATCTCCGAAACGAACTAAATACTTACTCTTCATCAAGTACTAAACTGATACCAGTGTAGGGATATATTCCTAATTGAACTGTTCAAACTACTACCACTGCTACTACTACTACTACTACTACTACTATTACTATTGCTGCTGCTTGCTGCTGCTACTACCACTGCGACCACTTCTACTACTGCTAGTACTACTACTACTATCACTACTACTACTACTACTACTACTACTACTACTACTACTACTACTATTGTAGAGGTAAGTATAAGAAATATGCCCAATGACCTCTGACATACAGATAAGCCACGACCCTGTGACAAGAGAATCCACGTTGCGCAATAGCGGAATCAATTCCATTCAAACGGAACCAGTTTTAGATTTTCAAATGACTGGTCTTCGTGCTGCTTTATTGGTCACATAGATCTGAGTCATCACATATAATAAACTATTTCAACCAGTCCGTATAAAGTAGCAATATTCTTGTGCGTTATTGGCGATTTATTTGAGCCACACTGTAGACGAAAGCTGACTTACTTCCCTCCTTGCCAGGATAGACGTACAGTAAGAAGGTACAGGTAAGATGAATTGCGTTATGACGAGAGTAATCTGACAAGACAGACACTGAAAAAGGTTGAAACGCATCACTTTAATACTTAAAAACACAACTATCCCCTTTCTTAAGGCAGTGGAATGACAGGGAAAGAGATAGGTCTCGTATGTTAAAGAATCAATGTACTGTTGAACCACGAACGTTGCTTGTCATTCTGATCAAAGTCATGACTGGAATCAATGCTTTGTGTCTAAACTAATGGAAAAAGATGGTATGCAAATACGTCTAATTATATTGTTGTTAATGTCTAAAAGCATCTTACCCTTACTTCTTATATTTCTATCAACGATAACCATTTGATAGAAAAGGGACATCATTACCTTTTGAAATGCTCTTCCTTTTAAACGTGATAAAGACCTCATTAAGTGTTCTGTACATAAAATAATGGTAAATGTCAAATTATTTTAAATTCCCATTACCGATGTACATCAGTTTGAGAGAGGAGGAACTAGTGGGTTGTAACTTAACATTTCATTCATGTAGCTATGACAACGGCAACCATAAAAGAGTTTACCATGATCGCGATTGTTATATATTTGTTCAACGGTTGCTTCTCTTGTGGTAGTATTTGTCCATACTGTGTAATAACGTCTCTGGCCGTAAGTTACATTTGTCTTGGACCAGATGATGAAAACGGAAGATGGAAAGGATAACCTAGGATTAGCATTGAAAAATGCAAGCATTACTGAATCTCCATGTGTGGTCAGGATGAAGTTTGAAATAGCTTTTAAATATTTCACTATGAAAAGTGAGATCAAAATTACATAATCTTTCATCAAATGTCTGTAATGACTCCACACTGTAAGTGAGTCCGCATTTGAATTAATGAAACAATAAAACTATAGCATAAAACTTCCTCCAAATCGCGCCAGTCTTTACCAGGAACTTCTCCGAGCAAGATCTCTTGGAGATCTTCACCAGTTCTCTAAACCCACAGGACAACCTATATTTTGCATCAAATTCGTTTTGTTGGTTTCAAAACAGAAATGGTAAAGAATACAAATTTCGGCTTCTTTGCACAACTAAAAAACATAATGTGTCTTCCAAGCAATCCTGGTCTCTTCCTGGAATTGTCCACATATTATATATTTCTTCAGATATGTACACATCTACATATAACAATTCAAAGTACACGCTCTGTAACTTGTTCTCATCGTGTTGAAGCAGGGTTGTTGCCATGTGAAGTTTTATGTCAGTCAGCAGAAAAATGTGACTTTTGTAATTGACTCTGACTATATTTAATTTGACTATGTGACTAATTTGACAGTCCACCCAGCTGTGAATGGGTAAGTCGTAATGATGGGAAAAAGCCACATTAACTCTGTGCGCCTAGTGGCTGCAAGAGTTGATCATCCCTAGGGAGTTGAGATTGATAATACGATGTGTCGTTTGAGATTGGCATCCAATGATCGAGGGAAAACCAAAGCGCCTTTGAGCAGCTGAGCTGAATATTGTCGCTATACAAATATTAGCATAATAATTATTGTTTTAATTGTAAAATTAAATAAAACGATATTTGCTAATGCCTGCTACCTGCAGTGCATGGCTGGTCCCAGTAAGAACACTCTACGTTTATCCATCTTAGTGTCTTCAGTGATGTATCATGACACAGGACACAGATTCAGCTGTAATAGCACATATCCTTGATTCATTCAGAGACATCGTAATTTGATAAGTCGTTGTGGAGAAATAGACATTGTGTTTAACGTCCCGTCTCCTCTCATGTCAGGCGTACATCACACGGCTGTCGCAGTTGGAGGCGAGTCCTTCAGTGTCTTATACACATCTCCACTAATGTACTAAACGGATTCGTATAGTTTTGAAAATGTCATACGTCTGATCGCGTTATGCTCTGTTCACTGATAGTTTTGTTGAAATGGCTAAACACGATCAGAACTAGATGTGTATTAGCTGAATTATGCTAACTTTGAATACAGTTTCCTCGTGTTAAACCCTTGAGATGACGTCAAGCTATGTGCTGCTGTTGTAGTTGATTCTGAACCAGGCAATCACTGGCCATTCTCCGCCTGCACTGACTGACTGACTGACTGACTGAGTTTGGTTTTACACCGCTTTTAGCAATATTCCAGCAATATCACGGCGGGGGACACCAGAAATGGGCTTAACACAGTGTGCCCATGTGGGGAATCGAAACCGGGTCTTCGGCGTGACGAGCCAACGCTTTAACCACTAGGCTACCCCACCGCCCCGCCTGCAGTTGAACAAGTAAAAGCAATGCAACCAAATGTCATTATTTTGTAGTTTAGACTGACTGAGTATGGTACGCCGTTTTTAGCAATATTCCAGCAATATCACGGCGGGGGAACACCAGAAATGGTTTTGGGGCTCGTTGATTCTACTTCTGGAATCAAAATCGAGCGAATCATCCTCACATAATGTTACAAGTGTAAACAATGTAATCTCCAAGATACAATTCGTCTTCTAGTAGTATGCAGGCAGAAATATTTAGTATGCTGTAACATCATCACCATATATGAACTCATGGTGGTTCCGGTGGATTAATTGGTCAGTATTTTCCATGTTGTTTACAAGATACCACTCCCCCTGGCCAGGGGTTTGCGGTGTGTGACCCTACTGATTGTTGACATCGTCGATGCATGCTCACGCTATAAACCAGTGTTCGGTGACAATTATTTCCAGACTGCCGTGCTATAGAAAGTGTCTTGCCGACTAGGGCCTTCAATAACGTTTTGTCGTCTTACATTCAAAAATTGTAACACAATATGAAATGATTATATCGAGATCTACCAATATGTAAAGAGCGATATCGTAACCTTTCAGGGAGTTTATGGTATATTTACTTTTCTTCAAACCAACCACTTATCTTGCAGCAGAGTATTCCCAGCGGGTTAATAAAATGAAAGCAGTTTGTCTGATGAGACACAGCACGTCTTTACTGCTTCTCATTCACGACCTCAAGCATACTCGCAAAGAATACAGTCGACCACGCACTCTGTATACATCATTGACTTTTTTCTAAATTTGATGCTTGTGTTGAAATTAGTGTCACAAGTGCGACTAAAACACTAATTGCACTCCAAAGTCATGTTAAATTGTAAATACGTTTGAACTATGTTCAAGAATAAAAACAAAAATAACGGCAGATATATTTGCCTCCCTATTCACCAAACACCCATCACATGCAGCAGTATTGCATTGGGTATGTACATTTAAATACATACATCAGACTATATTACAGAATGTTTGCCCCAAAGGGTGTCTCGCAACAGCCTCATGTAAAAAACATCGGGGCCTCATCTCACTGTAGTATCTAATGTCGAGGATTTCGCTAGAGGGATTGAGCTTTTTCCTTTTTTATGAACTAATATCAGATTGTTTCTAGATTCGAGCACAGAATGTAGATCTGTAAGAGGTGAGGTGAAATTGGGTTTAACGTCGCGCTGGAGAATATTTCGCTCATATGACGACGTGCATGCGTGTGTATGTGTAGGTGCGGCTGCTTGTACTAGCCCAGACTGAAGCTGGTTTTATAGTGCTAGCCCACTGAGATACCATGCCGCAGTGAAGCATGAATACCCCACTCAGACACATTATACTGACTCCGAGCCGACCAGTCCTTGTTGTACCCATTAATGCCGAGCGCCAGGCAGGAACAAACAAGTACCATATTTTAACGTCGTTTGGTATGACGCAGATCTGTAAGAAGTCTTCTACATGAA